ACGTTTCAAGGACCACGCGATGGCCCCCAAGTCGGCCCAAACTGGCCCAAGCAATGCCAGAACACGACACCATGGCCCCGGAATGGCCCTGATACGTTCCCAGGATGACCCCAAGACAGCGCCAAAACGAAATCAATGTGCTGGATTTGCATCCTGGGGGATTTGTGGGAACCGCGTTCTTAATGGATGATATTTTGCTTTTGTAACTAAAATTACACTATTGGGTTGCAACAGGGGAGCGGGATCCAGGCCAGACCACGCAAGACGAGTGTCTAGCTAGGCTTCGAGGGGGCAGGGAGGGTTCGATGCCTCCTGAGTCTTTGTCACCTCCCCTTGTAGGATTACCGTCGCAGTGAGTTCTCAGAAGCCCTCGCGCCTTCTGAGAAGTTGTTTGTTTCCCAACCCTCCTGCGTTGGGTTCTCGTTTTGATTGGAGCACTACGGTCGCACACCTTCTCCTCCTCCCGCCTACCTCTCCCCTTCTCTCCTGCCTCTCACCTCGCTCCTTCCTGCGTGCTAGCTTGCCTCCTACCTGGCCATCCCTGGGGGGCTGCGATCTGCGAAACGGTCGCCACTTTCGAGGGCTGCTGGGGGGCCAGCGGAGTGGGGTCCCACCCAGACTCAGATTAGACCTCGTCATCCCTCGGGGGCTGCGATCTGCGAAACGATCACCACTTTCGAGAGCTGCTGGGGGGTCCAGAGGAATGGGGTCCCACCCAGATTCAGAGTAGACCTCGCCATCGGTAGGAGGCTGCGATTTGCGAAATTGTCGCCATTATCGAGGGCTGTTGGGGGGTCCAGCGAGTGACGTCCTACGCAGATTCAGATTCGACCTCGCCATCCCTGGGGGGTTCAGCGGAGCGAGGCACCACCCAGACTCAGACTAGACCTCGCCATCCCTGGGGGCTGCGATCTGCGAAACGGTCGCCACTTTCGAAGGCTGCTGGGGGTCCAGCGGGGCGCTGTCGCCCGCAGACCTGGCGGCGCGCCTTCGAGTGTTTGGCTCCCGCACTGAAAAGTGCAGGAAGGAAGTAGGGAAGCTGGCGGGCGAGCTAGGCCTCGGTCGGTTCTTCCACTAAGCATAAGCAAAGTTACTTTGTTTGCTCGAGCGCCACAGCGTCATGGCGCAGGCAGCGCTGCATGGTTAGCGTACTACCGACAAAAGCAACACTATTCGGTCTCCTCCCGTCACTTTCGTCGTCGTCCTCTGCCCCCTGCCACCTTCCCTCTGCTGCTGCAGCGCTGACGGTTCGGCCCCCCGCGCGCCTTTTGTCCTGCCTTGCGTTCCCGCCCCCATGTCCTCCTCACGTTTGGGCCCTCTCTCCTCGTCCTTCTGTTGTGGTCCTGCGAATCGTGCCACGTGAGCGCACCCCACATAGCGTACACAACATATAACGGCGCCTGCATTGCCATTGTCCTGGCAAGGTTGGGCCAACTCCTCTTGTCACTTGGTGCACATGGGCTGGGTACGTCGCAGGGTAAAGTTGTGTTCGGGGAAGGCTTGGAAAACTTCTCAGAAGGCCTGGGAGCTTCCGAGCCTTCTGAGAAGGCTTTGGATTATTGTTATTTCTTTCTCTCTGTCAGAGGAGGACAAGGTACCCATACCTCTACCCTTTCCTCGTTCTCCCCTGTTGGGTCCTCCTGGGAGGCACTCGTCGCCAACGCTGGATGGGCCTCGAAATGCCGGTCAGAACGCACCCCCGAGAACGCACACCCTACGCACATTCTCTCTTTCTCTCTTTCTCTTTTTGTTGTTTCTCTCTCTCTCTCTCTTTGGTATCGCTCGGACACGTGCCTTTTTATTCTCGGCGAGGACCATCGAAAAGCATCCTGGGTCACTTCCGCAAAGAAAGCACGCACGAAACCGACAAATGCACAGGGAATGGACGTCCGAGCAACGGCAAGTTTCTCTCTCTCTCTCTCTTTCTGTTTGTTTCTCTCTTTCTCTCTCTCTCTCTCTCTCGTTCTCTCCCCTCCGCCTCCCGTTTCTTTTTTGTTCAATGCATCTTGGAGGCTCATATGGGGCTTTTTGAGGGCCTCTCGGGGGTCTCTTCGAGCTGCTAGGGGAGAACATTTGGTGGCTTGGGGGCTCTGGGAGGTCTCTGGAGGGCGTCTTGGGAGCCTTTCAGGGCCTCTCGGGACCTCGAGGGGCCTTTCGGAGGCATGCTGGGAGTCTTGGAGGCAAGCTTGGACCAAAATGTCTTGGAGACCAGCTCGAGTTCACCCTCTTGGGCCCCACATTGAAGCCTTCTTGCGGTTCTCTTGGGCCGTCTCGGGGCGTTCTTGAGCCGTCTTGAGGCATTTTTGAGTTGTCTTAGGGCCACTCAGGCCGTCTTGGAGCCCTCCTGGGCTGTCTTCGAACCCTCTTAAGGCCCTATTCGGCTGTCTTGGAGCCTCCCCTTGCGAACCTTTGGGGCCGTCTTAGGTTTTTCAGGATTCAAATGGCAAAGATGTCGAAACTATTCGAAAATCACATGGGCATCCATGCTTTTGGCCTCTCAAGTGCCTCCTGGGCGCCCTCGTGAAGCCCTCGTGGGACGTTTTGGATACTTCTTGGGCCGTCTTGAGGCAATTTCGCGCCATCTTGAGACATTCTAGAACCGTCCCGAGGCCACCCTGAGCAGTCTTGGACCGTCTTGGGGGCGTTTGAAGCCTTCTTGGGGCGAGCTTGACAGTCTCGGGGCAAACTGGGGCTGTCCTGGAGACGTCCAGTGACCAAAAAAGAGCGCTGGAGAGCAAGTCTAGGGTGCAACGTGGGGGGGGAGGTCGGCCCTACAAAACATGGAAGAAACCGCACAAGACAACAGAAGAGCATTCTGACGTGCCCACTCAGTGAAGGCGTGTATGCACGTCCTGAGGTGGAGCGACAGCGTTTTCTGCAGAGAATAATGTACTGCAAGTGAATAATTTGTCACAGATAGTATGATTACTCATTGTAAGTTAAACCCCACTAATTCCCCCCCCGGCGCCACGCCACATCCGTGCATCAAAGATGACGGCCCCCTTTCCAGGTTTCAAGAACTTGCGAAAATCAACGGGAAAGCACTGATCTCCACCTCTTGGGCCTTCCGGAGGTCCAAGAGAGCTTCAAGACGGCTCAAGGTGGTTTCAAAACGGCCCAAGACGGCCCCAAGACGGCCCAAGATGGCCCCAAGATTGCCCAAGAGGCGCCCCCATGACGGTCGGGCCCCAGGACCCCAAGAGCGCCTCCAGAAGCTAAAATCATTGATTCCACGACGGTTTTTGAAAAAGTTTGGCGTTCTCTACTTTTGGGGCTCGCGGAGGCCTACGACGGCCCAGGCAGCCTCCAAAAGGCCCGTAAGACAGCCCAAGAGGTTGCCAAGAAAGCTCCAAGACGGCCCAAGGGGGACCGAAAATGGCCCAAAGGGGCTCCAAGACGGCCCAAGAGGCCCCCAAGACGACCCCAAAGGGACCCCAAGAGAGCCCCGAGGTGGCTCTGAGAGGGGCGACCGCGCAAGAGCACCCCAAGGCGGCCCCAGACGACCCCATGAGTCCCCAAGAGGCCCCCTAAAGGACCCCAAGAAGCTTCCAAAAGGCATCCGAGAGGTTCCCAGGAGGTCCCAGCACGACTTGACTGCACGTGCTCTGGACGTGCACCCCTCGAAGCGAGAGGAATCCTGCCCCCTCCCTCCTCCCTCCCTCCCTCCCTGCCGCCGAGGTGCCGCTCATGCAGTGTATCGTCACGGGCCGTGCGGCAGGCAGGAGCGCCGCCGCTCAGGTTCTGGAGGGCACCAGCACGGCACGTCAGGACCTTCGCCAGAGGAGGAGGGGAGCGGGAGAAGAGACGGGAGGAGGGGGGAGGGGGGATGAAGGAAAGGAGGTTACACTTCTTCAGAGGCAGTGCTGCCAAGTCGAAGATAAACGAGTCCATGCAAAGTTCCCTTCAGCGCGAACAGGTGCAAACGGAGCACTTGAGCAGACTCTACCAGAAAACGGCATGAGCATCATATGTCTACACTCCGCAGTCCTCAGCATTCTTAGTGCCTTGCACTGGAAACCGCTTGTCGATACAAGTATGGGGCATGTTCATATCATGCCGCATTATTCTAGTGGCCGGTGTTTGTTATCTCTTGGCTTGGGCCAGGGTTTCAGGCAACCGATTCGCGTGACAGCAGTTTTTGGCAACCACGTTGCGAACTCTCTCTCTCCTCTTTGTCCTCCTCTTTCTCCTCCTCTCCCTCCTCCCGCCTCACGCCTCCGCCATCGCCAGACAACACATCACCGAGGAATCCGTGCGGGCAGCGCGAGTAGAGTCTGGCAGTCGTGAAATCATATAGTTTCTCACGGCACGCGGTGCACAATTCTTGTCCATTTCGGACCAAAAATTGCACCTCGTTGTTTCTCACGTTTGCTTTGTGCTTAACGGCACTCTCTTGCGTGCCAGAGGCTCAGCCACGCCCGATTCCGTCAGGAGAGGTGATGTCGTGCTGTTGTCGGCTCCCTCTTCTCCCTCCCCCGAGCATCCAGCATCCACAGTTCCGTGGACCAGGCTGATTGATGGTGGGCAGAGCGTCGGCTGCTGAAACTTGTCGCGCGTGATCGCAACTCTGATCATGATACCAGTGGCTGCACACATTCTGAGCTCGAGCATATACGGCCGCTACGCGGTACTCTGAGTTTGTCGTCGTTTTGCGAGGGTTTCGGATTTTGTGACGGTCGTTCAGTCGGCGAGGCCATTTGTGGTTATCTTGGGCCAGGTTGGAGCCATATTATACAGATTGTGGGTGCCTCCAGGGCCGAGGAGGTAAGTGGAGGAGCGCGTCGGGCTCCAGCCAGGCCGCCTTCCCTCGAACCCAGCTCCTGCCGATAATCTTCGTAGTGGCATCAGCCGACCCCGACACGAATCCGTTGTCCTTGCAGTGATGATTCTCTACCTGCAGTGGTCGGAACCAAGGAGTTGCGTCGTTCGTCTTGCCGCGCCGTGCCCGCCCAGCGGTGCGAGCTCTGCTGGCGGACAGCGTGGCCCGATTCCATCCCCAGGACCTGCGGCAGCTGATCCTCAGCTCGCTCAACTCCCAGCTGGGCGCGGGTGCGGCCTCGCCGACCGCGGCGCCGCCAACGGACAAGCCGCTGGAGGAGCTCTCGAAGGAGGAGCTGATCGCGAAGGCCCGGGCCTGCACCACGCGCTCCCGGCCCGGTCACCCGAAGGGTGCCAGGGGTGGTCTTAGGCTTCCTGGTGCACCCGGCATCTCTCGGGCGGGGCTATAGGACGAGGGCAGATCCGTTCCAGAGCGTTCCAGAACGCTCTCGGAGCGCTCTCGGCACAAAATACCATGCGCGCGCATTCGTTTATCAAAAATCGTGTGTTTTTGTTCCAGAATCCCTTGCAACAAACTGGACGAAGTGCACACGCGCGCGCCGTCGCGCGCGCAAGCCGAAATCTTCAAAACCCTCAGGCTTCGTGCGGAGTTCAAAACCGAGCGCCCCCGAAAACATATGAAAGCACATGATTTCGCAACACGAGTTCTCAAACGAAAAAAGAGCTTGCGCTCGCGCTCTTGCGAATTATGAAGAAAACCATAGGTTCTCAACATGTCGATAACATGCTACCAAACGGTCCTCTCGCGCGCGCATTTCGACATCGCTCGAACGCCCTCGCGCGCGTGCTGTCGCAAGAACCCTTGCAAAGAATGGGACCATGTGCACACGCGCCCGTCGTCGCTCGCGTGGCGAAATCTGTCAAAAACCGTAGGTGCCGTGGGGATTTCAAAACCGAGCGTCTCGAAAACATATAAAAGCACATGGCTTTGCAACATCAGTTTTCAAAAAAAGCCTGCGCTCGCGCCCGTGCGATTTCATAAGAGAACCAAAGCTTGTTCAACATTTTCATTGCATTCGGCCAAACTGGCCTCTCGCGCCGCATGTCGAAATCATTCGAACGCCCTTGCGCGCGTGCTGAGGGGGGGGGGGGGGGCACAATCCGTGTCAAATAATACATACCATGCGGGGCACTCGCGCGTCGGCCGCGCGCGCATGTCGAACTCCTTCCAAAACCTTCACCACCGACGCGATGACGCCGTCATCGTCGCCAGCGCGATCAACATCGACGCCGTCGCTGGCCGCGCCGTCGCCGCTGTCATCATCGTCACCAGCATTGCTGCTATAATCATCGCGTCTACCGTTGTCGGCGTTGCCATGATACCGCGCCCGCCCAAGTCGCCGACTCGCACTGAGGTGCCCGCTGGAAAGTGCCCAGCGGTCAGCGCCACCTCGGCCGCGTCGGCCACGCCAAACTGGCCGGCCGCTGCGCGCGCGAGCACGCGCGGGCAAGCGCGGCCGCAGAGATGCGCCAGCCAACACCAAACACTCAGCGCAATCGCCCCCGCATCGGTTTTGCAAGCCAAGTTGCGGGCGGGTAGGTGGGATGATTGCGCGAGCAGTGGAGTTGACAACCTACTTCGAACATAAATTAATTGCATTACATTGAATACACAGCACTTATTGCACTACGTTGGTGGCCAGAAACACACTGCTTGGGGGCCATGTTGGCTAACACGTTGTTAAATGTTTAAGGATGTACAAATAAGTGTACACTGTGTGCGCACGCATATAATGTCTATGTGTGTATACACATGCCTCCCTCGCCCTATACATATGACAGATATTCACGATTTAAAGTATACGGATTAAATCGGTCTCTCTCTCTCTCTCCTCTCTGTCTGTATAATCGTTGTGTCTACGTCGTGTTGAAAACAGTTAACATGATATTCCGCTTCACCTGTTGTTACATATCGGAGGTTGGGAGGTAAGATCGCAGTGGAAAGAAAGCCACCCTCGGGGAAATCGGTTTCGGTGTCGTGTTCGTGTCGTGCGTGCGGGCGAGGCGAAAGTGCGTGGGCGCGCGAGAGGAATGACCCCGCCGTCGCTAGGGCGATCCGCGATCCGGATGCAGTGGACCGTCCCTCCGCCCTCGGTGAGCGCGCGGTGGCCCGGGGTGTCCCGCCATGGTTTCCTGTGGTGTCCCGTCGGGGTCCCGTTGGTGTCCAGTTGGTGTTCCGTCGGCGGTGGGTGGGCAGTGGCCGGGAGTGTCCCGCCTTGGTGTCGATAGCGAAGTCGATAGTGAGATTGATGGTAACATCGTTGGGGTGGGTTGGAAACAGAGATCAAAAGTGAGATCGACAGCGTGGCTGATTTTGACCTTGGTTGTGAGATTGAGAATGAGATCGACAGTGAGGTCGATAGAGAAATCGATAGTGAGATCTACAGTGAGATCGAAAGCGAGATCGATAGTGAGATCTATAGTGATATCGATCGAGTGTGATCGATCCTGCGAGGTCTATAGTGGGATCGATCGAGTGAGATCGAAAGCGGGGACGATTGTGGATTTTCAGCGCAATGCAACATCGTCATCACGCGTCGTCGCTAAATCGAGGTCGCGTCACCAGCATCGTCATCATCACACCCACGGCATTTGCCAGCAGTTGATAATGTCCGCCCACCCCCAACCTCCTCACCCGAAGGGTGGTCGTGTAGGTGTATGTGTATATATCTATATACATATGTGCAAATACATAAACAGATGTGTACATCTATACACATGTGCATATACCTATCGCTATCTCTCTTTTTGTTTCACGCTACTAGGTGTACGTGATAGACCCTACCTGTCCGTTCTGGTCTTTACCCTCTATTATCTGTTCTCTCTCTCCAATCTCTGGTCTATACTCTCTATCTCTCTGTGGTAGTCGCGCGTTCCGCTACTGTGCACTCGCCGTCCTGTTTTCTTCCATCCGCCCTGCACTTGAATTTCTGGCGCTAGTATTGCGACCCTGGTCGTGTTGATGGATTTCAGTATGTTTAATGCTAGCCTAGGTTATTAAAACTGCATTGCTTCGCCGCGTGTTCCGCTCCAGGCCCCCGCGATGAGCAGTGTGTCGAGTAGTTATAATGCCTAGTTGTTGCGCCCTCCTCTGCTGCCTCCCCCTCAAAACAAACTCTCTACTCTCAATTCTGTCCTTGATCGCAAGGACCAGGGCACGTAAGCACGACCACGAACTCGAGAATGTGTGAACCCAGGAACCACGAACCTGGTAGTTTGACCGCCCACCGAAATTGGCCTGGCATTTTCGTAACGAGCTTACAAGATCACGAACTTGGAACGGCCGCCCACCAAAATCAGCCCAGAATTTTCGTCTGCGCGTTCAATGTCCGCTAGGACCCATCCAGTGCAAGCACTAATTGGGGAATGATCTGGACTAAACCCCCCCGCGATTCTTTTGATATGTTCCTCCCCCCGTCTTGTTTCCAAGGAGTGGTGGAATCGGGGTCTACCCAGGACGTCGCCTCGTCTCAGCGCCGGGGACGCAGGACGAGGCAAGAGCGAGTCGAGCGGGGACCCAGCAGAGTCAGGAGTGTGTTGGCACCGTGTCCAGGCGCGCCTCCGACCTCTCAGCGGCTGGGCTGGCGGTGGGCTCGAAAGGAGCAGGGAGAAGGAGGAGCAGGAAGAGGCTGGGGCGGACGAGGACGAGCAGCTGGGCGAGGACGAGTCGGAGGAGGAGCTGGAGGCGAAGGCAGAGGAGCACAAAGAGAGGAGCAGGAGTAGGAAGAAGGATCAGGAGGGCGAAGAGGGCTCCTCCGCCTCCTCCTCCTCCTCCACCTCCTCCTCCTCCTCCTCCTCCTCCTCCTCCTCCTCCTCCTCCTCATCATCATCATCATCATCATCATCATCATCATCATCATCATCATCATCATCATCATCATCGGAGCGGAAGGGGGAGGGAGCGAGGGAGGAGGGAGGGGGGAAGGGCCCCGACGCAGCCGACGCCGCCCGCAGGTGAAGGGCCTCCAGGCCGGTGGGGCCGTGGCCGCGCCGGCCGCGGACGCGGCGCCCGGCGGCCCGCCGCCGATCACCCTCGAGGATTGGCCGGGGCAGCCGGGCGTCGGCCCCGCGGCCGGGTCGCGTTGGGTCGCGCTGGGTTCGGGCCGGACGAAAGGGGGGGATTGGGAAAGGGGGGGGTACGAAATTTGCTGCATGCAGCTGGTTTCGGCCCCACCGAGGGGCCCATTCCTCGATACGTAGCCGCCTCCGGCGCCGTGAGGCGCCGGGAAGATCAGCTATACGTGAGCTGATTCTCAGACCCCCCCCCCTTTGCTATCCCCCCCTTTCGCCCGACCCGATGGGTCAGCTTCGCGGGAGGTTCAAAGGCTCAGGAGGAGAAGAGACACACAGACACAATGAATCGTCGATTCCCCCGAAGATATGGGAAAAGATGGGCAGTGGGGGGAAGACAGAAACCCAGAAAATATAGGAAACTATGGGGAGTCCTTTTATTTGTGTGTGTATCTATTTGTGTGTCTCAGGGCCCCTTCACAAGCAGCGGCGATCGAAGAAGAACAAGCGCCATAAACATAAGCTTTTGGTGCTCCGCGCAGATTCCTCGGATCCGCGCTGGGCCAACCCCGGCGGCGCCCCTGGGCGCCGCCCCTGGCGCGCTGCGCGCGACGGGGAAGGGGTCCGGCGCAGAGCCAATGAATCCGCGCGGAGCGCCACAAGTGTCTGTTTATGGCATGTGTCTTTCTAGCGTTGGGTCAGCTTCCTGGGAGATTCAAGCAGCGGCGAAGCATCCTGGGTTGCCTATAGGCCCACCAGAGACTGCTCTAAGAACCTTTTGCGGTCTGCACGAAATGTTCTTAGAACATGTCTGACCGAGATTGCCCTGTTTTCGAACATCGGGCGTATGTTCCAAACACATTCTTGTTGTTTTTAGAACATTTGTGGGCTCTAAGAAGTTTCGTGGTAGCCCTATAGGAACACCGGGACGGTCGGTCCCTGCTCAAGTTGAGTCAGCTTCGCCGGAGATGGGGTTCCTCCCGCCTTGGGGGAACAAACAAGGTCATACACATAAGAACTCGGAGGCCCGCGCGGATTTCTGGGCCCCTCTGGCGGCGCCTCCAGAGCCGCCCCTGGCGCGCTCAGCGCGCCAAGAAGGGGGGGCTCAGAGCCGATCCGAGAAGTCCGCGCGGACCTCCGAGCTTGGTAAGTTTATGCAAGTGTTTGTTCCCCTACTCCTTCCAGTCCTCCCTGGCCCTCGGCCCCCGCCCTCTGCTCCATCCGCTCCGTCAACTTCTGGTGGAGAGCGAGGGGGGCCATGGAGGGCGACAAGGGGGAGGGAGATCGGGCAGGAGGGGAGAATGCGAGGATGGAGCGAGGATGGGGGGAGAGCAGGGAGGGGAGGAGAGGAGGCGGAAGGAAGAGGGAGGGAAGAGGTATTGGGTAAGAATGGGGACCAAGGAGAAAGAGATGGATAAGAAGGAGATACAGAACACTGCTCACATCTGGGTCATTATGCCTACATGCCTTGCCCCCTCTCGATCAGTATGAGACTTGCCGACGCGCGGCGTCTTCTCATGGCATGCCGTGCGTGGTGATCCGTGTTGCGGTCGGACGGTGCATTATGTTCATAAGAGCATCGCCATTTCTTACTTGCTGCTTCCAGATGTGACAGTATCCCTGCGCTGTGCTTCACGGCGCGTGTGTATGTGTTGCGTGTAGTGGGTGTGGTGTGTATGTGTTGTGTGTTGCGTGTTGTGTGTTGTATGTGATGTGCGTGGTGAATATGTGTCTATGTGTGTGTGGTGTGTGTCTGTGTGTCTGTGTCTGTGTCTGTGTGTGTTCGTTCCCCCGCTGTAAGCGGGAACACCGTATCCGCACATTAACTCGAGTCAGCCGCGCGCCACGCAAGCAATGCAGGTGGCGGTGGCGAGGGGGCGGCACGTGGGTGGGGCACGGTCCATTGTGCAGCCACTCAACACCAACACACACCCGAACGCACCTTGCTCTAAAGCCCCATCCGTCAAGGACCAGCCCCTTCAAAGCCCTGGTGGCACCGATCATTGCCAAAGACGCACGTCGCATCACACCAGCACGAACCAGCTCCCACGAAACCGCCAGGCAGGCATGCGTACATGCTGCCGTGCTGCGTTGCCCGCTGTCGCGTGGAACATGGTCAGGCAATTCTGGGGGACGTGATGCGGGCGCGCCACACCGCACGACTCCGCACAAACGCCCCACAGGGTGTGCGGAAGCGACGGTGGGTAAGAGGGCGTGCTCGTTTCCACTCCAGAATTTGTCGCACCAGCGCGCCTGAACGGGGAAGTTGGAGGAGCCGCAATTCATTGACGTGCCGTCGTTCCTGAGCGAGGCCCCCAGGACAGCGCTGACGACCCCGAGCAGGAGGGGCGACGAACGTCAACGACGGAGGGGAGGGAAGGAGGAGGGAGGAGGGAGGGAGGAGAGGGGACCCTCACCAAGGTCTCATCGACCGAAGTCCTGCTCCGCCGGCACGGCGGGCAGCTCCACGACATGCTTGGAGAGCGAAGCCGCCCACGGCGCAGTTGGCAACCAGCAGAAGCAACCGCACGTCCTCCCAGCGCCGAGTCTGCGATAATTCTGGCGAACAGCCTGCGCACAGCAAGCCCACCATCCAGACACCATGAATCGGCCGACGAGGAGGCGGAAAGAGAAGCCATACACGAACATCCAGCCCAGCTCTAGCAACGGGCAACCGCCTCCGAGCAGCAGAACAGACGGCGACGTCCCTGGAGGCCCGCCACCACACCATCGCCATCCCAGAAGAGCCTCAAACCACGCCACAATGGATCGGGGCCGCGCCAGGGCAGAGAGAGCCGTGAAAACACATGCCATTCCATGACCCGGAGAAGCCACAACAGCGATCCAGGATGGAAGCAGCTACGCTTCCACCACGAACGGCCACACACACAACGGCACAACACGACACATCGCAGCACGGCACGTCACAGTACGTCACCAGCACAGAACGACGCGTGCGCGGGGCCAGCACGACACATCGCAGTACGTCACCATCACAGTACGTCACAGAACGACGCGTGCGCGTGGCCAGCACATCACACGGCACGTCACAGTACGCGCCCGTTGACGCGCGCGTGTGTGTTTGTGTGTTTGTATGCATATGTGTGTTTATGCTGGTGTGAGTTTGTGTGTGCTTGTGGGATGTGTGAGTGTGTTATTGTGTGAGTCTGTGAGTGTGTGTTTGCGTGTGCTTGCGATGTGCTTGTTTGTGATTGCGTGTTTGCTTGTGGTTGTTTGTGTTTCTGTTTGTTTGTCTTTGTGTGTGTGGTTGTGTGCGGCTGTGTGTGTTATGTGTTAGTGTGTCTGTGTGTGTGTTTGTGTGGGGTTCTGTATGCTTGTGTGTTTGTGTGCGTGTGTCACGCCTGATAGTTCCAACAGGCTGTTTTGGGGCTCCTAGGCTTCGTGCAGAGTCATGCGCGCCGTTATGGTGCAAGCCATTGTAGATTGGAAGTCGAACCGCCCACGTTGAGACCGCCAAGGTGGGCCTGGTCTGTCGGTCAATGCCTAGTCTAGGCCATGTTCGTTGCGAGTGAGCGGTTAGTCTGATGGAATCTCGACGCGTGGGCATCGAAAAAGTATTAAGATTTGACCAGAAGTTGGGCTGGACAACGGGCTTGTGCATAAACTCACGTGTGCCCTCAGGGCCACGCTCATTACATTACATTGGGCGGGCCTGACAATGAGCCTCGCAGCCAGACTGGACGACTTCTCTTTGCTCGACACTCTCTTGAAATTCCTTTGCTCTTCAGTGAAGGTGGCAGCTGCGTCGTTCGGGTTTCTTTCATGACGTGTGCCGAAGGATGTCGCGAAGCACAACACCAAGGACGACGCCTGGCTCGTGGTGAATGGCGATGTCATCGACGTGACCAAGTGGATCCCGATCCACCCGGGCGGAGAGCAGGCCATCGCAGCGTACTTCGGGAAGGTCGGCCGACTGGGAGAAGGGCCGGGCCTGCTGTAGACTGGGGAGGGCAGGAGACCGGATGTGTCCAGCGCCTGCCCCAGCCTCCTCCTCCTCCTCCTCTTCCTCCTCCTCCTCCTCCTCCTCCCCCTCCTCCTTCTCTTCCTCCTTCTCCTCCTCCTCCTCCTCCTCCTCCTCCTCCTCCTCCTCCTCCTCGGGGAGGGGGGTCCGGACGGCAGATGTGCAGGGGCAGGGGATGGACGCGGCACCCAGTCGGCAAGCCTTGTGCTCACTGGGTCCCATAGGGAGGGCTGGCCCCGTCGAGCGACGGGGGATAGAACTCCGTGTGCAAATGCCCACGCAGAGGGCCCAGCGGATGCATCCAGAACTGACTCGACAGCCGCCGAGCGCCTTGCCCGCCTCCTCCGTGGACACACTCTGGTCCCAGCGCCACCCCCTGCCGAGCCGTATGGGCCCCTCCGGCCGGCCGCGAAAGGACGCCACCGAGGAGTGGAACATGATCCACAAGAAGGACATGGCCAGGCGCTCGTCCACTGCTCTTCCTCTTCCAGATCGCCACTCCCCCTCCACCGCCGCTGTGGCCTTTCGATCGGCACCAAGGCCCTGCCTGTCGTCCCGGCGGCGTGATCTTTCGGATCTGTGGAATGCCAGCGCGCGGAGGGATGGCACGGCTGGTTGCCGATTCTGTTGCGCTCGTCGTTTGAGTGTTCGCACTGGAAAAGCAGGAGTGTGCCCAGAGGTTGCGCTTGGTGTTGATCTCTTGATCGTTTGCTATCAGACTGTAACCCTCGCTTCGCGGACTCGGATCTTACAAGTGTTGTTGGGTTCAATGTCAAAGACAACAGCGCAATGCCCAGCCGCGCTAAGTTGTTCCCCACATCCTGAGTGGAGTTCTTGTTTTCCCAGAACACCCTCTCCTTCTCCTCCTCCTCCCGCGTCCTTCTCCTAAACCATACCATACCAAGCCATACCATACCAATACCTTACCATACCAATACCATACCAAGCCATACCAAGCCATACCATATCAATACCATACCATACCATACCAATACCATACCATACCATACCATACCAAACCAATAACATCCCAAGCCATACCAAGCCATACCATACCAATACCATACCCCACCCCTCCAGGGAGGCCCCGCCTGAGCGAGGAGGGTATTCGCATCACATGTTATTTATCAGGTTTCGTGCCCCTCCCACCCCTCCAGGGAGGCCCCGCCTGAGCGAGGAGGGTATTCGAACACAGTGTTATTTATCAGGTTTCGTGCCCCTCCCACCCCTCCAGGGAGGCCCCGCCTGAGCGAGGAGGGTATTCGCATCACCAGTGTTATTTCTCAGGTTTCGTGCCCCTCCCACCCCTCCAGGGAGGCCCCGCCTGAGCGAGGAGGGTATTCGCATCACCTGTTATTTACAGGTTTCGTGCCCCTCCCACCCCTCCAGGGAGGCCCCGCCTGAGCGAGGAGGGTATTCGGAATCACCATGTTATTTATCAGGTTTCGTGCCCCTCCCACCCCTCCAGGGAGGCCCCGCCTGAGCGAGGAGGGTATTCGCATCACCTGTTATTTCTCAGGTTTCGTGCCCCTCCCACCCCTCCAGGGAGGCCCCGCCTGAGCGAGGAGGGTATTCGCATCACCTGTTATTTATCAGGTTTCGTGCCCCTCCCACCCCTCCAGGGAGGCCCCGCCTGAGCGAGGAGGGTATTCGCATCACCTGTTATTTATCAGGTTTCGTGCCCCTCCCACCCCTCCAGGGAGGCCCCGCCTGAGCGAGGAGGGTATTCGCATCACCTGTTATTTATCAGGTTTCGTGCCCCTCCCACCCCTCCAGGGAGGCCCCGCCTGAGCGAGGACGCTATTCGAACACAGTGTTATTTATCAGGTTTCGTGCCCCTCCCACCCTCCAGGGAGGCCCCGCCTGAGCGAGGAGGGTATTCGCATCACCTGTTCATTTATCAGGTTTCGTGCCCCTCCCACCCCTCCAGGGAGGCCCCGCCTGAGCGAGGAGGGTATTCGCATCACCTGTTATTTAGGTTTCGTTCGTGCCCCTCCCACCCCTCCAGGGAGGCCCCGCCTGAGCGAGGAGGGTATTCGCATCACCATGTTATTTACAGGTTTCGTGCCCCTCCCACCCCTCCAGGGAGGCCCCGCCTGAGCGAGGAGGGTATTCGAATCACCTGTTATTTATCAGGTTTCGTGCCCCTCCCACCCCTCCAGGGAGGCCCCGCCTGAGCGAGGAGGGTATTCGCATCACCTGTTATTTCTCAGGTTTCGTGCCCCTCCCACCCCTCCAGGGAGGCCCCGCCTGAGCGAGGAGGGTATTCGCATCACCTGTTATTTCTCAGGTTTCGTGCCCCTCCCACCCTCCAGGGAGGCCCCGCCTGAGCGAGGAGGGTATTCGAATCACCTGTTATTTCTCAGGTTTCGTGCCCCTCCCACCCCTCCAGGGAGGCCCCGCCTGAGCGAGGAGGGTATTCGAATCACCATGTTATTTATCAGGTTTCGTGCCCCTCCCACCCCTCCAGGGAGGCCCCGCCTGAGCGAGGAGGGTATTCGCATCCATACTTTTTCATGGTTTCGTGCCCCTCCCACCCCTCCAGGGAGGCCCCGCCTGAGCGAGGAGGGTATTCGGAATACCATGTTATTATCAGGTTTCGTGCCCCTCCCACCCCTCCAGGGAGGCCCCGCCTGAGCGAGGAGGGTATTCGCATCACCTGTTATTTCTCAGGTTTCGTGCCCCTCCCACCCCTCCAGGGAGGCCCCGCCTGAGCGAGGAGGGTATTCGCATCACCTGTTATTTCTCAGGTTTCGTGCCCCTCCCACCCCTCCAGGGAGGCCCCGCCTGAGCGAGGAGGGTATTCGCATCACTGTTATTTATCAGGTTCGTGCCCCTCCACCCCTCCAGGAGGCCCGCCTGAGCGAGGAGGGTATCGCTCACCTGTTATTTCTCAGGTTTCGTGCCCCTCCCACCCCTCCAGGGAGGCCCCGCCTGAGCGAGCAGGGTATTCGCACACCATGTTATTTATCAGGTTTCGTGCCCCTCCCACCCCTCCAGGGAGGCCTCACCAGAGCGGGCAGGGTAGTCGCACACCATATTATTCATCAGGTTTCGTGCCCCTCCCACCCCTCCAGGGAGGCCCCACCAGAGCGCAGACAAGAAGCAATGGAACCCCGTAACATCTTTATGTGGGGAACTCCGTTTGCATAATTTTCCCAGCCGCATGTGTTGCAATTGAGTGTCCTCATCCGCATCCTCGTCCTCCTCTTCAATGTCAAGGTGCCTGCTGCAAGTCTGCCACCGTGCCAGGGAACCACTCTGAGGGGCGACCTTTCGTGCATCGCCCAGAAGGCCGCCACATGTGACACCTTTCGCCTCCATTTCTTCAGAGGTCTTGATGGGGACTATTGAGGCCATCTTGGGGCTATCTTGGGCTCCTGTGGGTGAGTCCTCGGGGTCCCTTGGGGCCCTCTTGGTTTGTCTTGAAGCCCTATTGAGCCGTCTTGGAGCTCTCTTGGCCGCCTGGGTTCTCTGGGGCTGTCTTGGGGCTTCTAGGGGCTCTCTCAGGCCATATTGGGTCCCTCTCTGGACACGCTCTTGGGCCAGCTTGGATCTCTCTTGGGGCAGTCCTGGTCCATCTAGGGGCCTTCTTGGGGGTCTCAGTTATCCTGCGCTTCTTGGGAGCAACTGTCGAAGAAGAAAAGGCGGCATGGCATAAAAATAGATTGTTGGCGCTCCGCGCGGGGTTCTTGGATCTGCGCTGGGACCCCCCTGGCGGCGCTTCCAGCGCCGCCACTGGCGCGCTCCGCGCGCCGGGGGTGGACCCAGCGCGGATCAAGAAATCCGCGCGGAGCGCCAAAAGTTCATGTTTATGGCGATGTTTCTTCTTCTATATTGGGTGCCTTTTCAAACGATGTTGGCCTGTAGTGGTGGCCTTGGGGATCTTCCTGGGACGCCTTGCAAACCTCGGGGCCTTTGAGATCGCCACGGAGGCATCGAGGCGCCCAGGAAGCTCCAGGAGGGGAGGGGAGGGGGGGCGGCAGTGCGTGCGACACTGCGTGGAGAGAGGAGGGGATCCTTAGAAGACTTGCACGAAAACCCTAGCAGACAGCACTTGGCATTCTTCGAAGACAGAAAGACGCTATAAACATAAACTTGTGACGCTCCGCGCGGGTTTCTGGATCCGCGCTGGGCCTCCCCGGCGGCGCCTCCAGCGCCGCCCCTGACGCGCTCCGCGCGCAAGGGAGGGGGGGTCCAGCGCAGATCCAAGAAATCCGCGCGGAGCGCCAAAAGTTTGTGCTTATGGCGTTTGTCCAGACCCTCCTTGGTTGGGTATTCGTTTTGAATAGAGCACCGCGGTCGCGTCCTCCTCCTCCTCCTCCTCCTCCTCCTCCTCCTCCTCCTCCTCCTCCTCCTCCTCCTCCTCCTCCTCCTCCCGCCTCCCGCCTCCCGCCTCCCGCCTCCCGCCCCCCCTCCCTCTTGTCTCCTCTTGCCTTGCCTGGGGGGCTGCGACCTGCAAAACTGTCGCCACGTTCGAGGGCTGCTGGTGGGTCCAGCGGAGTGAGGCACCATGCAGACATGAGCGAGACCTCGCCGTCCTTGGGGGCTGCGATCTGCGAAACTGTCGCCACTTTCGAGGGCTGCTGGTGGGTCCAGCAGGGTGAGGCACCGCGCGGACCTGAGCGAGACCTCGCCGTCCTGGGCCCCACCCCGCAGGACCCACCAGCAGCCCTCGAAAGTGGCGACCGTGTCGCAGATCGCACCCCCAGGGACGGCGAAGTCTCGCTCAGGTCCCGCGCGTGCCTCAGTCCGCTGGGCCCACCAGGAGCCTTCGAAAGTGGCGACAGTGTCGCAGATCGCAGCCCCCAAGGGACGGCGAAGTCTCGCTCAGGTCCGCGCGGTGCCTCCCTCCGCTAGACCAAACAGCAGCCCTCGAAAGTGGCGACAATTTCGCAGATCGCAGCCCCGCAAGGACGGCGAGGCTTCGCTCGCTCAGATCCGCGCGGTGCCTCATTCCGCTGGACCCAAAAGCAGCCCTCGAAAGTGGCGACAAATTCGCAGATCGCAGCCCCACAGCGGGGACCTGAGCGAGACCTCGCCGTCCCTGGGGGGCTGCGATCTGCGACGTTGTCGCCACTGTCGAGGGCTGCTGGTGGGTCCTGCGGAGTGAGGCACCGCGGGGACCTGAGCGAGACCTCGCCGTCCCTGGGGGGGCTGCGATCTGCGACACTGTCGCCACGCTCGAGTGCTGCTGTTGGGTCCAGCTGAGTGAGGCACCGCGCAGACCTGAGCGAGACCTCGCCGTTCCTGGGGGGGCTGCCATCGGCGACGCTGTCGCCACTTTCGACTGCTGCTGCTGGGTCCAGCGGAGTGAGGCAATGCGGGGATCTGAGCGAGACCTCGCCGTCCTTGGGGGGGCTGCGATCTGCGAAACTGTCGCCACTGTCGAGGGTTGCTGTTGGGTCCAGCGGAGGGAGGCACCGCGGGGACCTGAGCGAGACCTCGCCGTCCTTGGGGGGGCTGCGATCTGCGAAATTGTCCCCACTTTCGAGGGCTGCCTGTGGGCCCAGGGGACTGAGGCACCGCGGGGACCTGAGCGAGACCTCGCCGTCCCTGGGGGGGCT